CCAACTCTGCCCCAGAATGGACCTGAATGTATGCTGGGAACTCAGGAGTGCAAAGAGGGAGGTGGCATGAAGGTGGGGTGGTCAACTGACCGAGGCATAAACAGGGATGTGCAAAGAAGTGCCTGGGGTAGCCAGAAAGTGGTGGAGCACCCCCTGGAGGAGAGGCATCACTCTAGGCCTAGGAGGACTTCAAAGGGATGGATGGGGAGGAGGGCGATGAGCACTTCGGGTAGAAGGCACCACCCAGGCCCAGGCACGCAGGTATGTGCTTGTGTGGTGTTCTCTGACACCAACATCTGCTGGAGATGTGTGTGTCATCCCATGGAAGGAGAGTGCTTTCTTGAGCGGGTGGAGTAGGAAGCAGACTGGCCTGCAGTGTATGGACAAATGATCAAAGTCTGCAAGGCTGTGCTAACAAATCTGCTTTGTTCTGCAGGCAGTTGGGAGCCAAGGATTGTTTGTGAGCAGAGGAAGGACATGAAGAGAGCTACCAGTCAGAATCATGTCTGTGGAGGAGTTTGCATGGTGAGGTGTGAGGGCTAAGCTCAGACACAGGGATAACCGGAGCTGCAACAATCGTGTGATGGCCTGAAGCAATGGGTGGAGGGGCTCAACTCTGAATGCGCGAGGAGCTGCTAGCCTCTGATGTGCGGTGGTTGGGTTGTGAGTTGAGTGGTGGGCACTAGCATGAGCACAGATACCCTGACAGCCCGGTCATATGCTTGGCTCATGACCCCACATTCCATTAGACCAGGACAAAGCTGATGTCCTTGTCACCATCAAGCCTTCAGTGAAGGCCAAACAATATCTTGAACTTTCTGTAAGACGGTCAGGAACTGTATACCATATTAAGACCATTTATTCATATTAAAATTTATATATATATTAAAATATTATATATATTTTTAAAAGTTGGTTTCAGAGGATCCACACAAGCATGTGCCTGTGTGCCTGGGCCTGGGCGGGGCCTTCTGCCCAGATTGCTCATGGCCCCCTCCCCATCCATCTCTGTCTTTTGAAGTCCTCCCTATTTCCACCCAGCTTGTGCCTTGGTTAGTCGACTACCCCACTTCCGAGCCAGCTCCCTCTTTGCACCCCTGAGCTTCCAACACACATTTACCACCACTACCACCATGTCTGTATACTTAAAGCAGCAAGCTCTAGTTGTCCAGAGCACCAACTCGCCAGACGCCGAGGGTGACCCGAGTGACACTGGGAGTGTTCTTTGGGAGTCAGGACACAAGACGTGCTCCACAGATTACAAAGAGCCCTGACTGGTCATTTCCTCTCCTGAGCTCACTTCCGAGGCCCTTGGGGTAAGGGAAACAGGGGAATCTTACCTTGACTTGGAGGGAAATTACTGAACTTTCTCCTCAGGAGATAGGGCAAAGCGGTTGCCTAGAAGAAAGAGGACATCTCCATGTATCATCAAATTGTAACGTTTAGAAACACTGTGAGTTAATTTTTGGATTTCTTATTTTTCTTCCAGATTCTAATTAGCCAGGTCTACTGTCTTCTGTTCTCTGGCAATATGTGAATGTCTAACAACCTTAGAATGCATATTTTCTATAAATCAAGCACCACATGCCTAAAATAAGAGATGGTCAGCTTTGGGGAAACTGCCAGCTTTGGGTGATATGGTGGTGGAAGGAGCACAAAGAGACCCACAGATCTAGGTTCAAAACGTAGTGCTACCTCCTTACCACTGTATGACTTGGGCAATTAACTCACTTCCTATCCTCTGTAAACCTTAGCCTCCTCTTCTGTAAAATGAGCCCGTCACTCTCCTTACAGGGACGTTGGAAGATCAACTGTGTCTAATATGATTCCCAGCTGCCCATGTCTGTGGGTCCCCACACCTTTTTGCCATCTTTTTTCTCCCATTGATCGCCTCGCTATAACCTCTCAGGTTGGTAAAGAGAGAGTCAAATGGCCCAGTTCCCCTAGAAATTCTTCCCAATGTCTGGTCCTCTGAGATTTTGCCTGGGTGGGTTTGTGCACTGTACCAAGAGGCAGTGGCTGAAGCCATCGGGGCTGGGCTTCCTGGAACAAGTGAGGAAGCAGCACTGCCCAGCGAAGGGCCTGGATGTCAGGGCAGGGCTGCCACTGTCATGTGCTATCTGTGTGGTCTTGATCAAGCATGTCCAACTCCCTGAGCCTGAGTTTGTTCAGTGTGACAGGGTTAATATCACTGTCCACTTGCCCAGTTTTGTAAATATCAAATGGAATGATGGATGTTAAAGAGATACTGTCTGCAACTGTGAAGAGCTGCCAGTGTACTTATAATGAGAAGTGGCTATCGATCCTTATGGCTTCCCATGGTACTGGGTGGCATGCAGGACCTGGAACCTACACCTGCCCACCAGAGGGTTCTGGCAATGGTACCCCAATCTTATTCCTAGCCACCCTACTAAATGAAGAACTCCTTCCTCCCGGGTTGACTTCTCTCTCCTGGCCTGTCTCCCCCCTCTGTGTGCTGCATCTGGGGGTATACTGCCCATACCCTCTATGTCCCTCGGCCATTTTCCTGCACATTGGCTCCTGCATCCAGCACTAGAGTCTGCTGTGGCTGCCCAGGGAGGAGCAGAAGAGCCTGGGAGTGCGCGTGTGGTACAGGCCTGGCCCTTCCCTGTGACTGACAGGTATGAAGAGCAAAACACCCAGCTTCCTTGCTCCTGAGCAGGATAACTCTGGGGTGTGACCTACACTGTCTCCAAAGATCCTAAAGGCCTGAGCCACAGTCAGCCTGCGGGTTTGGCTTAACATCAGATGCCTGTTGCCTTCCTTTCCCTATCTCACTTTCCCAATCCCCCTGGGCTTTCCTCAACAAACACTTCTGTGCACACTCTGTCTCAGCGTGTGCCACAGGGGAAGCCAGCCTATGGGAGTTGCAAAGATCAGTACCCCCGACTCCATGGACCTGCCTACTTCTGGAAAGTTGTCCCATCTGTTACTTTTTGCCCAGCTTCTCAAGCTTGAGTGGAATAACATGCACCTTGGCCTCATTTGAAGGGTCTGCATTTGGGTCCTCTGGACTCTTGCCAAGTTTCCCAGCAACACGAGGAAGAAATACCTGGAGGACAAGGAAGAAGTTTTACATTATTACTGCCTTTTTAAACCTCCAGCTACAGGGTGGAGAGTTGGAGTGGGCCAGCGGGACAGAGCTGAATGCTCTTGATACACTCTCCATCAGGAATGCAAGGATAGTATGGTGGCCCCCAATCAAATCCCTTCAGGGCTCTGGGACTAGGGCTGCTGGATTTAGCAAATTAAAATAGAGGATGGACAGTTAACTTTAAATTTCAGAGAAACAACAAATAATTTTTTATTATAAGTATATCCCAAATGTTGGATGGGATATACTTATACAAGAAAATTATTTATTGTTTATCTGAAATTCAAAGTTAACTGGGCATCCTGTGTTCTACTTGGTGACCCTCTCTGGGATTCTCCTAAGAATGTCGTTCATTCTTTTGCCAAATTCCTTTGCCAGTGTGGTCTTGTCTGAAGATTCCTGAATGGAATCAAGAGAAGAGGATGTTAGCCTCAGATCTCTGTTAGGAGGGCAGCTCCCTTGACATGACTGCCCTGCCATCTATTCTAGTCACACTCATTTTAGGACAGCAGTGTATCACGTCTTTTAACATGAGTATTATCATTCAGGTTGCTTCTTTTAGATTTTAAACTTTGTGTGTGTTTGAGACTCTCAGAGCAGTGGCTGAAGGCTCCCTCATAAAGAGCCTTCAGTTAGAAACAACTATAGATAATAAATAAAAAAGAATCTCAATATGGGCACAGTTTACTAATTAGCAATTAAGAAACCCAGACTAGCAGTTCAAGGGGAAGAGAGGTGGCCTGGCCCAGGGTTCCCACCTCAGGCCCACAGTGGCATGTGCTCCGGGGAGGTCTCCGGGGCACAGACTCACCCAGGGCTGCTGTGGTCCTTCCACTCACCGGGAGGTTTGACTTCCTCCGGGGCTTTCCTGAGGGTTTTACCGTTAGCCCTGCAGCCCTCAAGGCTGCAATCCTGGACTCGATATCCGAAACCTGAGAGGACAGCAAATGGACAGACAGACACTCAGGGTGTCCCATCTCAAAGTCACAAAACAGAGAGAGCAGTTGCCCCCCGTTCACTCGTGGAGCCAATTTTACTTATGTTTTTTCTTTAGATTGGCCCCCCGGCCACATGCCCTTCCGTGGCTGTCAGTTAGGGTTTGGAGTTTTCCTTGTGTGTCACCCCAGGCAGGATGACAGGAGTTCTGTGCACTTCTAGAAGTCTGACTCCCAACAGGGATTGAAGGAGAGGCCATCACTGTGGAAGGGTGGCATTGACTCCAAAAGCCACACCAACTAACTATTCTTCACCTGAACACTCCCTCACCCTTGCTGGCACCATTCTTGCCCTGCCCCCGCCCCTTCTCTCTTCTTAGGCAACTTCTCCCACAGTAGCTAGAGGAAGCTTCTGGAATGAAACCAGGCTTCATCACCTCCTGTTCAGATCCCTCCAGTGGCTCCTTAAAATTTTCTCTGTGGCTCTACAGGTCCTTGGCTCCAGTCTCAGGGTTTCACTGCTGATTCCTGAACACAAATTCAAACTATCCCAGGGCCTTTGCACTTGCCTTTCCCTCTAACTGGACTCCCATCCCCTAGATTTTCCAGCCTGGCTTCTTTCCCTAGTACTCCTCCTGATCACCTTATATAAGTTGCCCCACCCTGAGCATTTTAGTAGGTCATCCCTACTTATTTCCCTCACTTATTGTCTTCATAGCACTTTCTATGAACAGAAATAATCTTGTTGGTTTGTTTGTTGTCTATGTCCTTCTACTAAAAATGTGAAGGCAGGGGCTTGGTCTAAGATGTCTATACCCTACACAATGCTGGCCACATTCTAGGCATTTACAGATTATTTGCAAAGCAGGAAGGAATAAATAATCATGAGTCTGACATACTCCCCTTGATGTGAGTGGCTCTGGGGGAAGTGTCCTCCCTCCTCAGGGAGTGACAGGCACCTGCTGATAAGAGAAGGCAGGAGGAAGGGCGGTGGGGGCCAGCTGTCCCTGCAACCTGAGGGGAAGATCCTCTCTTCTCTGGATTGGGGAAGGACAGACAGTTCCCAAGTCACCTTGCTTGTCCCTGGGAGGCCCAGAGGCTTTGCTTCTGCCCATGACCTTTGTGCACTATGACATGTCCCTCATCCAGACTCAGCCTCAGCAGCCACAACTCAGGCTCACAGGATAGCACTCAGGCCACAGTCCGGTCCTGGGCCCTGGGCTTGTCCTAAATCCTAAACCTGCTTCTAGGTCCCCCTCATGGGACAGGGAGCGGTGTGTATTCAGCATCTTCCTCTCTTGGTGGAAAACCCTGCCTGCCTCTCACCAAGCTGAGTGGTAAAAAGGACAGGGGTGGTGGCCTTGGGGTGGTGAAGCAGGTGAGTCCCATAGAAACTCCCAAACTTGAACTCAGCCTTCACAGGCATGTACACTGGGACGACAGAGAGGGTGTGAGGCCTTAGGGTGGGCTGTTAGTGTTGTCAGACCTTCAGAGCCCGGTCATGGTCACTATCTATCTTTGTGGAACCTGTGAGCCTTCAGGGCTACCTCACTCTCCACCTGCTGGACTTCTGAGGCCGTCACAGCCACTCTGTCCTCCAGCTCTGACAGCTCCTCATCCGTGGTCCTGTTGTGCTGGGCGGGGTCTCCATGGCCCTGTGGACTCTTTTCCTGTCTGTGTGTTTGGCCTGCTGCTGTGCACACCTGGAAAAGAGAAGAACCAAGGCTGACTACCAGCAGGAGGGAGTGTGGGATCTCACCTGGACGGGGACTCATGTTATCCTGTTCTCTCCTCTGAACACTAGGAGCTGGCTGACTGGGAATTGGTCACCCTCTGTGGCCCTTGTCAAGGGATTGGTCAACCCCTGGGGCCCTGTGCTTGGCTGTCTGCCCTGGGGAGGGTGGTAGCTTAGTTACAAACCACTGGCCGACTGGGACTGTCCATCCCCTGCTCCTACCTCTGCTGGGTTTTACTGAGACCTCTGAGGGAGTGGTCTTACCTGTGGGTCTGTCTCGGGGAGGGCCCCGACAGAGATGCCCCTGTCCGACTCTGCCTCTTCATCCTTGCCCTCCTCCTCCTCAGACGAGGCCCCCTGGTCGCTGACGTTGCTGGTCAGCTCCTCCAGCTTTCTCTTCAGGGTTTCTTCCTCTATGTCAGCCCCTGTGTGCTCTCCAGCAACTAGACTCTGACAGGAGCAAGCAAGTGAATTCATGTTCAGTTGGTCGTCTGGAGACACAGAGCTCAGAGGCTGGGCTCTGGGAGATCGGCCTGGTCCCAGCACACTTGGGTCCTTGCTGGAGCACAGGCTCTGTCACTTCTCCATGTGAGCTTGTTCAAAGACCTCCAGAATCAGCCTCTGTGGGGCTGGGGGATGCTGACCACCACCCCTGGCTAAGACCCACCATTTTGGTATTTTTTTTTTCCTTCTCTTCCCTTAAAATTAATATTTTATTGCCATAAAACACACACATAAGAATTACCATCTTAACCATTTGTAAATGTACAGTTCAGAGGCACCAAGTACATTCACATTGTTGGGGGCAGCCATCACCACCATCCATCCACAGAGCTCTTCATCTGGCAAAACTGAGACTGTCCTCATTAAACACCAACTCTCCCTCAGCACCCAGTAACTACCATTCTAATTTCTGTGCCTATGATTTGACTACTCATATAAGTAGAATCAAACACTATTTGTTCTTCTGTGATTGTCTTTTTCACTTAGCCCCGTGTCCTCGATGTTCGCCCATGTTTTAGTTGGGTCAGAATTTCCTTCCCCTTTAAGGCTGACTGGTGAGCCCTACCACTTTTGAACAAGACACTGAAATTTCCTTGGTGGAAATTTTCATAGCAAGAGGACAATTCTTCCCTCTGTCTCTCAAATTGGGTCCTAAGCAATTTTTTCTGGTTCCCAGCCCCAGTACTAAGATGCTAAACCAAGACCACAGCTCTAGAGTGTTTATATCTGGCCTGCTGAGGCTGAAGGGGGTGTTGACGGTCTAGGCCTCAGGGTTCTCTCCGCATTTCCTGTGTTAGGACTGAAATACACAAATACCCTGTAAACTCAGCCCCATCTAGAAATGCTGTGTCACCTTAGAGGTCCAGACTGTGTCCTGGACTTACACAATGACCAGGCATTCATTTCCTATTTATTGCATGTCCATGAGCACCAGGCTTGGGGCAGGGTGCTGTGCCCCATTCTCATGTTGGCTTTGCCATAGAGATCACACTCCCAGACAGAGCTGGAGTGTACTGGTGACTTTTGGAAAACCACCGACAGAGTTGTAAGAACATCTCGGCGACATTTTCTATGACTCAGTGGGCAACATCATTTACAATGGTCCCTTCTTGAATTTAGAACCAGAAAGTCCGTCATGCTAGGTGAGTTTGTTTTCTCAGCCTGAATGAGATTTATATAACCCAGAATGTCTATTTATTTGCCTTGGCTAGGAAGAAACTCAGAGCTCATCTGAGCGGCCATCTGAGTTCAGACTCTGCTGCTTGAAATCATTTTTCAAAGTTGTGATCTTCGGCCATTATTTTTGGAGGTGGTGTGTTTAACACCAATTGGAGTTGGAGCATAAATGGGCTGGAAAGAAGGGAAGTAACACAAATTAAGCACCTCCTAGAGCTGGATGTCACATGTTTATTCCAGGCTGTTCTCTACTCTATGGGGAAAAGGGAGCATGGAGTCATGAACTTCTCTGTCTACCCCCTTCTGTGAGAAGCCAGTCTTGGACTGTCCTACTCCAGTGGCCATGCTCTGGCCAAGGATTCACTTAACAACTGTTTGCTGAATACCTGCACTGGGCCATGTTGCTCCTGATCCCATAAAAACATCCCCGGGGATGTGCGAGCAGAAAGGAGTCTAATTCTGCCAGCCGTCTCCTCTCTGGGCAGGCAGGAAGCTCATGGCAGCTGTTGTCTTCTGTGGACACTGACCAGCCTTTTGTGAAGGCATTTAGGTGCCAGAGTTATGTGATAAAAACACAAAATGGCAAGATTATCCCAATCACCTTTTATAGCCAAAATGATGCCACAGTGGGTGCTGAGATTTAGAAGATCCCCCATGTCAGTCGAGGCAGCACCAGTCTTTAAAGGTTGCTCAGGCCCAAAACCTTGCAGTTGGCCCTCTTTCTTCTCTTCCAATATCCATCCCTGCTGGGTCTGCCTTCACAAGGTCCCCCAGATCCGTATGCCTCCAAGTACCTTTGCTTCTCTGTCTGGTTGGACCGACACCTTCTCTGGCCTAGACTGTTCCTCCACCTTGTCCTCCCCATGGTCTGTTCTCAGTAGGATAGCCAAAGTGGTCCTTGTACCCTTAGCTAGCTCTCCTCACTCAAATCTCCCCATGTCTCCTAAAGTAAAAGGCAGAGGTTAGACACCTCATCCAGCCTAACCCCACCCCGGGTCCAGCCTCATCCTCTGCTCCCCTACCCCACACCACCTCACTTGTCCCAGCCACCCTGATCCCTACAGCCAAAGGGGCCATTGTTCCCTGTGCCCGCGACATTCTATTCTAGAAGCCACACAGCGACCCCTGCAGCTCTTCTAGCTCTCTGGGCAAATTTTACCTCTCAGTGGGGTGCCCTGATCATTCTATTTAAAATTGCACCCTTACCCTAGTTTTCCCCTGCCTCAGTTTATCTTTCTTTCCCTTTCTTCACCTTCTGACCTATGTTCTATTTGTTGGGTTGTGAAGGGAATGAAAATATACCATCTCAGAATATACGTCTTTGACATATTCCAAGTTGGTTATTCATAGGGACTGCAGACAGAGTAGTACTGAAAAGGGGTCCTTTGTAGGGAAGATCTGTACCTGTGGAGGAACCTCCATGAGTGAGGCCCCCTCTTCTGCCTTATTTATATGCCTTATCCAGGTCTAAGAAAGATGAGTTCTCAGGAAAAGGAGACTACTGTCTGTTCTTTCTGAGGGCAGCTCCAGGTAACCTGACAGACTTTCATCTGTGCAACAAGAAACCTTTCTGTCCCTCACTCCCTCATGATTTGTGCTGCTGCCTCTAACCACCATCTCCAGAATCCCCAAATCCCTTATCTTTCTGTTGCCTCAGGACAATATAAAACTTCTGTCATCAGCCCTTCTTTGAGTCTCATATTTAAGGGACTCCTGTGGTTATGTGCATGTTAATAAGGTCGTAGGCCTTTTCCTGTTAGTCTGTCCATTGTCAATTTATTTCAGCAACTTATTTTCATGTATTTATTTATTATGGACAGGGTCTTGGTCTGTCATCCAGGCTGGAGTGCAGTGGTGTGATCAGCCTTGAACTTCTGGGCTTAAGGAATCCTGTCTCTAGCCGGGCTCGGTGGTTCAGCCTATAATCCCGCTCCTTTGGGAGGCTGAAGTGAGTGGATTGCCTGAGCCCGCGGG